AGGACCTAGCATGGCCTGGTGGTTAGGGTATAGCAGGATCTGCAGGTTAGGACTTAGCATAGCCTGATGGTTAGGATATAGCAGGATGTGTTGGTTAGGGTATAACAAGATCTGCTGACTAGGACCTAGCATGGCCTGGTGGTTAGGGTATAGCAGGATCTGCAGGTTAGGACTTAGCATAGCCTGGTGGTTAGGGTATAGCAGGATGTGTTGGTTAGGGTATAACAAGATCTGCTGACTAGGGTCTAGCATGGCTTGGTGGTTAGGGTATAGCAGGATCTGCAGGTTAGGACTTAGCATAGCCTGGTGGTTAGGGTATAGCAGGATGTGTTGGTTAGGGTATAACAAGATCTGCTGACTAGGACCTAGCATGGCTTGGTGGTTAGGGTCTAAGGATCTGGCGGTTAGGGCATTAGATTTGGAACCTGATGATCGCGGGTTCGATGCTCATACACGAATATGGTCCTTCTTTCAGAAATTGTGGCGTTATAATGTCACAGTCAATCCCATTTTACGTTGTTAAAGATTAGTCCAAGAGTTGGCGGTGAGTGGTGTTGACTAGCTGCCTTTCCTCTAATCTATCATTTCAAAGTTAGGACTATTTGTGCAGAAAGTCATCGAGTAACTTTGGGCGAAATTCAAAAAGGCAACATTGGTTGTTCGGCCTGCTCCCAGGTTTGGTTTGTTACGACTATCTGTGCATAGCCATCCATAATTTGTTCTGACAGACATAGAGAGAAGACAGCTAGTCAATAACACCCACTGCCAACTCTTGGGCTATTCTTATATGGTCGAATAATGGGATTTGACAGTCGCTGCTAGAGCGCACCCACGACCTCAAGGCGCAGAGCGCGCTAAACCATGAATTGTTGGATTTACTGAATGCTCATGCTAGCCACTATCCAGACACGATCTTATTCAGTCTGTAGTCTTAAAACACAACCATTTCAGAAGACTAAGAATGTATGTAACAGTAACCTTAATGGGTAGCTATCTTTACGTCAGAGGTCATTCAAAATGTTCTCCATTTTCACAGGAGTACAAAAAACAAAACCCATGTACACTTTCAAACAGTGCCGCAAGGATGTCGTTTTTAATCAATAACTAATTTATAAAAATATTGAACAGCAACAATTCTGGCAAATTTTTGGATTTAAACATCTTGTTTCCAAGCGCCCTGGTCATAATGACCAATGTCCGAAAATATCTTTTGAAAAATAAAAACAAATTGCATTTCTAGGAGTACGCTTTCAGAAAAATAAAAATAGCGAAATTTGTGAACAGCCCCTTATGCTAAGTATGATGAGGGATATGTAGAAGTACGGCTCTGTTTACAAAGATATGGACAAATAATTTATTATTAGTTTTTAATTTGTTAGGTTTTCAGCTATACGTATCAGTCAGGCAGGACTCTTTGTTGCTCTCGTTTAGTCGGTAAACGAATATATTTCAATGATGCTTTAAACCAATTTATTTTTAAGCATTCTTGATCATGTGTTGTATTTCGAATAAACCGTTTTTGTATGTTATTTCAGAAACTTTTGTGGCTGTTAAACATTTTGTTGGAAAGAGACAAAAAGAAAAGTCTTAC